TTCTTCGATAGTTGGTCGGGCCGTTTGCTCCACTTTATCATTTTTCCTTTTGTTTAGACTCTCGATCTTCTTTGTTTGTTCAATTTTGAAAGCTTTGGCAGCTGATTTATCGAAAACCGCACTGCACCGTGGGCATAGCGACACGTCTTCGTCTTTCTCTTTCTTCCTATTCAAAAATTCAACGAGGGAGTCTCCTGCTCGAGGATATATCTCTTTCTCAAATTCTTTTTCGAATTCGTTCAAGTCGAACTCCATATCTTCCTCTGATACGTCCATTCTGGTATGCTTGGGATCGATGTCTTCAGGAACATCGACCATGCCTATGAAGGTGGCATTCATCAGCCTAACGTCATCCTTCATCTCAGCTTGGGATTCAATATATCCCACTTGGACTTCGAACGGACTCGTGTCCACTTTCATCGCTGTCTCTCCAAACTTCAGCCTTCCTTGGTCGATTGCATCTTGAATCGTGTTCCTGAAATGTATACAATTATTAGTCCAGATGTCCATAAATATTATGAAATTTACAATATTTTCGACCACCCCTTTGTTCTCGCAGAAGGCAGCTTGTGATCTTCGCTTAACTTAATCTGTTTATCTTTTAGTAGAATGTCGAAGATCTTATCTCGCTTTTGTTACATCGAAAGTGTAGGTTCGGCTTGCCATTTTATCCTTCACTTCATTCTTTTGCAACAATTTACAAGTATATGGAGCTCCTACTTTGAGCTCTGCTATATTTACTTTCTCATCAACATTTTCCTCGATATCAGCTTCGTCGAGGGATCTACTTCATACACATCATTTATATAGGCTATTCTTTCTTTTTTCATAGGTTTCTCAAATTTCTTGTGCCTTTGTTTCTCATATTCGATTTGTTCCACTCTCCTCACTTTATCAGCCTAACTGAGCCATGTCATTTAATGGCAAATTTACCAACTTTTTCCTAATCGAGAATTCTAAACCTGCAGAAGCCATCCCTGACTAATTCATATTCAGGAATTTGAGTAAAACATCTTGATTTCATTTGTCTAAATCGATTCAGATAATCATCTATGTTTTCATGATTATATCGTTTTATGTTCATCAAATCAATGAGACTTACTTGAGTTTCTCCTCTAAAGAATTGTTCATGGAAATTTCTTTCTAACTGCAACCAATTATATATCGAATTGGGCGGCAATGAAGTAAACCAAGTGAAAGCATTCTTAGTCAAGGAACTAGGGAAATACTTCATTTTTAACTCTTCACTCATTGCTAAGTCCCCACACTCTATCTGATATCGAGCTACATGCTCGATAGTTGATTCACCAACCTCTCCAGCAAATTTAGTGAATTTGGGTATTTTGTATCCTCGAGGCAATTCTGTCTCGAGAATCGCATTTGGAAAAGGAGACACAAAATATGTCTGATTGGGTGGTCTTACATCCGTCCCTTGGAAATTCATCCTTTGTCCTAACATGTGATTATATTGCATATTATTCTGATTATGAATATTTTGAAATCCCTCATTCAGATTTCCGTAAATATCATTCCTCACATGTTGATATTCGTTCCCCATTTGCTCGATATTGATCATTGTTCCGATTCCTTCTTAATAAATAAGGGGATTAATATTCTGATCGGCATGATTCTCAATCCTCGTTTGTCGAGGTACAGCCAATGCGTCTCCAATTCGAGACATTTGATCCGCTAATATCTCGAAACTAGCAGGAGTATTTTGAACTAATGGGTTTAAGACCGTAGTCAACCGTCGTGATAACATATTCACCATTTCAAAATTACTCTCATCCATTTGTTGTCTAAGTATTCCTAGGGAGTTGCTGGAAATCCCAGGTATTAGTATTTTCAATATTCTCGAAATTAGATCGATGATAGTCCCTATCAAATGCATATCTCCCATGATCGAGATTCCCCCTAGGATCTAGATTTGGAGGTGTCTGTTGTATCCCTAAGTTTGGTCCATTCCCTGAATTTTGTGATGTCACTGAATTTTGAGATACCCCTAAATGTGTAGATACTCCAAAGTTTTGTGGCATGCCTAGGGTTTGAAATGTACCTACGTTTTGAGGCATTCCTAAGCTCGAATCGTGAATTTCTATGTATCGATGAAGTGCCAGTTCCATTCATGTTATTGGATAAGAAACCAGGTGGTCTTACACTAGTATATGGCCCTGCATATGTGGTTATGGGGTTTCCCATAGTTTGCATATTATTTGATATTGCTATACTAGCTCCTACATGGGTGTTTGCCAATGGACCTGGATTTTGTTCATTACTTATTGGTATCGACGTGCTCACAGCTTGTCGACACTACCTGGTATACTCCCATTATGCCCTTGCCCTTGCCCCCAGGATTTGGTGGGAGCACACCACTTAGACCCTCATTGTTATTCTGACTACTTGAGGAATTCCTGACTCATTCTTATAACTCTCCCACTTCTTAATCTCATACACTCTCGAACTAACCTCTTTTGTGTTTTTTCAACACAAGTCCCCTACCCTGGCGCGCCAATTTGTTTCTGGTGGAATTTCGATCGATTTCGATTCTAAGGGTGTTTTGGTCCTAATCAAAATTCTACCACGTAAGTTCTTTTTACTTAGGCTAGCAATTTGATTTTCAATCGAAAACGCGTATGAGAATTGAAAACTACAGGATATCGAAAATGTGGTTTTTGGTATTTTATGTCTAAAATGCTTGACTCAAACAAAACAGGTAAAGTATCGAATCGAGCAAAGAGAATATTAAATTGCAAGAAAGTGCGAAAACCCCGAATTTGCAAGAAATTAAGTTTGCGAGATAAATAAAGGACAGGAAATCGAAATGTGCGGGAAATGTAAATTGCTAAAACCCATTAAAATTGCACAGAAAGTAAATAACAGGAAATCGAAATGTGCGAAAATGTAAATTGCTAAAACCCATTAAAATTGCACAGAAAGTAAATAACAGGAAATCGAAATGTGCGGAAAATGTAAATTGCTAAAACCCATTAAAATTGCACAGTAAAGTAAATAACAGGAAATCGAAATGTGCGGAAAATGTAAATTGCTAAAACCCATTAAAATTGCACAGAAAGTAAATAACAGGAAATCGAAATGTCATTGAATGTAATCTACAAGAATATGAAATTGCTGAATTGAAATGGCTCGAAAGTAAATTACCAAGGAAAATATAGAAAGCGATAAATGTACTCAGTGAGCAAGGAAATCCAGATTGCCAGAAGCTTCATGGTGTTCGTCGTTTCTCCGGTAGACTTTTCACTACTCGATTCTCGTTCTCCGCCAATTTCCGCTCCCCTGCTTTCTCCTTTCTTTGTTCTATTTATAGGGCGTTGTTCAAGCCTTCTAAGAGCAGCTAACGAGACTGCTACCACGTTCTTCGTGCGTATGACAGCTTTCTTTTACAAGTTTTCCCATGTTCTCACGATCTTCAACTTTTCCATCACTTAGAAACTGCTTTCAGGACGTGCGTTTTGACTACTTTCTTTCAAGGTTTAGCCAAGGTTATGATATCTACGAAAACGAGCCTTCCCTTTGATTTAATCGAGAACTTTGCATACCTGGTATCGATTTATTTTAACCTTAACTCCATGTTAAGCTTTTCGACTATTACGCCTACTCTTCCAATTTTACCTTTCGATTTTATGTGTCACGTTCTTTATAATCGGACATCAGAAAGTTCCCTTTCGATTCATTTCTCGATCAGACTTCTCGATTCCACACTATGACTTAGTCTTTATTTGGCAACAGGCTCGCTCATTTCTCGATTGTGCTTCTCGATGTTATATGCTACGTGTTTCAATTTGGACATCGAATGAATATTTGTTTATCTTATCGAGTCATATTTCTTTTCCCTTCGATTCTGATTGTGTTTCTCGATTTGCTACTAACACACCCAATATCATAATATTCCTATTTTTTTTAAATGATAAAAAAGTAAAATATAGGAATCGAACAAAATCAACTTTAAAATTAAAGTTAGATAAAATTTAATCATACTTGTATGAATGCATAATATTGCTTTAACTTAATGGTTTTAAGTTTGAGTTAAGTGTCTAATTGTATTTAGAAATGATAAAACAGATTGAATCTATAAAAACAAAGCACTTAATTTGATGTTAAGTTAACCTATTCGAGTTGTTATTCTAAAAAAAATCACAAAATCTGTTAAATTAACCTAGTCAGTCTCGTAATCAATTAATTAGAAATTTCCAATATAATAAACATCAATCTAAACTCAATCTGATTTGTTTCTTCATAGAGTTTAAGAGTAAGGTGGGTAATCTATTTTATTATTCTTAATGAACGCATATAAAAAAAAAATCTGGATTTAGTATCTAGCATGTTCTTATTTTAGTTTGTACAATGTTAGTATGAAAAAATGACATCACGCTTATATAACACTTTTATATTAATAATGATGTAATATAAATTGTGTTATGCTAACATGATATGATTTTATAATAATGGAGATTGATGAGATGAGAAAGATTAGATAATAAAATAGTTTTGTTAGAAAAAAGATGTTTAGTTAGGGCAGGGAAGTAATTTGGGTGGTTTTGATTGGGGAAAAGGACAAGCATGAAAAAACGCAGACAAACAATGTTGTTCCAAAAAGAAAGAAAAAGGAGGCCCCTTGAGATGGCATGTACAACAGTAACCCTCAGAACCCAGAAAGGAAAAAAGAAAGTGGGGTGGGTTGGGAGAAGAAGTAAATTCAGCCCTTGAGATGAGATGATAGGGTGTTGTTACTTTTAAGCTAAGCAATAAAGAGAGAGAGAACGAGAGAGGGTGTCCCTTTCGAAAGGTGTGGTGGCACCATGTAAAGGATCAGTCTTCCAAATGGGGCATCCAAACACGGCCTAGAGATGTATGTATGTGTGTGATGTAACCAACGGTTCCAAGTTCTAACTAGCAAGTAAAATTCATGAATTATAGATAAAAAAAAAAAAGGGGTGAAAAGTTGAGAGAAAGAGGGAGGATGAGCCAGTTTTGCTGATTCAATGAGTTTTGGATGGGTTGGTGGGTCGTGGTGTCATGGTATGTGTAATGTAATGTAGTACAAAGAACAGCAGTCATTACATCTTTAACATTCATTCATTCTGAAATCTGACCATAACACTGCGTGCCACTCCCTTCTCTCATCATCCCTAGAGGCCCGGCCCAGCCCGGCCCACGACACTAATTCTCTTCTTGTTCATTCCTTCATTCAATTCCCTTCCTTTTCTTTCCAGCCCCCACTCCCTCATCCACTTTGGCATGGAACTGAAAATATTGAATGGCACGCGTCCACTCTCGCGCTTTCACTAACCAAAACCGCTCTGCTCTGTTAAAACCTGCCAGAGGGAAACAAACAAACCAAAATCAAAAACAAAGAAAAGTGTCTGACTCTGGATCCTCAAAGGAATCATCATCATCGTCGTCTTCTTCGTCATCATCATCACGAAATTCTCCACCTCCGCACGGCAACAACAACAACAACAACAATAGCAACGGAAGAGGAGCAACAACGGGGTTGCTTCCAAGCGCAGCAGCGGAAACGGGCTTTGGTGGGTTCGGTGGAGCATGCAGGAACGACGTCGTGGAGGCAGGGGATGGTGAGAGGAGGAGGAGGGGGAGGGGGAGGAGGGGAGATAGTGGAAGTTGAAGGGGGACACATTGTGCGGTCCACCGGGCGGAAGGACCGTCACAGCAAAGTGTGCACCGCCAAAGGACCGCGTGACCGACGGGTCAGGCTATCGGCCCATACCGCCATTCAATTCTACGACGTGCAGGACAGGTTGGGCTACGACAGGCCCAGTAAGGCCGTGGACTGGCTCATTAACAAGGCCAAGTCCGCCATCGACGAACTCGCGCATCTACCTCCCTGGAAACCCACCCTCCCAACAACAAACCACCAAAACGATGACGAATCAGACAAACAAAACCCTAATAACCCAAACTCAACCACAAACACCAACGCAGACACAAACCCTGATGATGAAATTCTGAACCAGTTCAACGAGAATCTTGAGAACGATGGTGGGGGAGGAGGAGGAAGTTCGAGTTATCTTCCGTTGGATAACGACGCGATAAGGTCGTTCTTCCCGACAACGACGTCGTCGCTGATTCAGTTTCAGAGCTACCCGCCGGATTTGCTTTCGAGGACGAGCAGCCAGGATTTGCGTCTCTCGCTTCAGTCCTTGCAGGACCCGATTTTGCTCCACCATAACCAAAATGAGCACGTGCTTTTCGCCGGAGCCGGGTTTGATAACATGGTAGCGTGGAACAACATTAGTAATGCTACTAATGATACTGGTACTGGTGCTGGTGGAGGTGGAGGAGGGTTTGTGCTTAACACTCCTTCGCCTTTGTCGGGGCCGGCGACGGTGGCGTCGCCGGCAGTTGTTTTTGGCTATGGTAATGGTAATGGTCAAGGCCAGTATCTTTCTCAGAGGGGACCCCTTCAGTCCAGTAACACCCAGTCCGTTCGTGCGTGGATTGACGCGCCGTCGTTCGTTGCCGCCGCCGATCATTATCATCGGCATCACTATTTGTCACCGGTATCGGCCGCGGCGGCTTTGGTGTATCAGTCATCTCCTTCTTCGGCATTTGCGCCCGGGGGCTTCTCGGGATTCCGCGTGCCGGCACGAATTCAGGGTGAGGAGGAGCACGACGGCGTGTCCGATAAGCCGTCCTCTGCTTCCTCCGATTCTCGCCGTTGAACCGCCGATGCCTACTTCTTTCTTTCTTCAAGTGCTGACTTCGAAACCGTACTTGTGTGGTCCGTTTCTGCAGGGAGGGGGAGAAGGATTAGGATTCGGAATGAATCGTTCGGTTCAGTGGAGTATGCTTGTGGAATGAAGAAAATCTGGTGTTTAATTTCCAGGTTTTTGAATTCTCCAATTTGTTATGTTAATTTATTTATTATTATCATTATTATTATGTTTTTCATGTTTCATTAGGGAGACTTTAAGTTTGGATGTTGTTGTTTGTTGGATTCAATGTTTGATGTTTGTTACAATTTGTAGTGGCTGTGTTTGTACTCGGATATCTTTTTAGTTTTGGTTTGGAAACATGCACGTAGATATTACTACTATTACTTATTCACTACCTAGTTTGCTCCAATTTTCTTGTATTTCCAACTTAGTGCAGAGCCAGTTTCAGGGTGAGGCTTTATCTCCATTGCAAAACAGGGCAAATTCCAAATAAGCGAAACGTATGAATAATTGGTCGTGTGCTAAAGGTTTGAGTCGGTTGTTACTGTCTTGTTTCGATAGAAGGAAAGAGACGGGCATTTTCTTCTCGTTTGTAAAATGCCCGATTCGCCAATGGATTGTCAAAGGGGATGAAAGAGAGTTGTTTCTCTTTGTTGTTTGAGAAATGATTGATTGATTGTGTTGTTACTTTTTTACTGCTTTCTAGTGCGAGCTTCCATCCTTCTGAAGCTTCCTCATCCTGCCAAAAGAATTAAAAGATGATTCATTCTACTGTTTCATTATAACAATGATCTATCCCTTTCGTGCTTGAATTTTGGGAGCATTTGGCTGATAAGTCATTGTCTATGAACAGTAGAAACTCTTCTACAAAAGAAAGGAGTTGCGTGTGAGTTGATTCCCGTCTTGTTAAAAGGGCAATTTTCCTAAATTCAGTATGGTTCTGTGCTTTTCCTTTCCCATGTCTTATTTGTAGTTCCTCTTTTGCCTGTTTAACTATGTGATAACTCATGATAGTGACTCAAGGGTTGATTGTGTGATGTAAAATGGAAGGGAAACAACTAAATTCATCTTGAAGTCGGCTTACCCACTTACTCAGCTAATTCTCAAGTTACAAGTATTCTCCAAAAGGAAGCTTCAGCTTCTGGTACAGTGCTTTTTAGTTTTTGCAATTGGGTTTGGAACCTGATCTACCCTTTTGGAATCAAAATATCTTTCATCTTTTTTATCAACTTCTCAACCATTGCAGTGAGATGAGATTGAGTAGTGGGGGAAATCTGTACGTCGTAGTAGTTCATACTCCATTATGTTGTGTAGATAGATCCTAGTAGGTAGAACAGGTGGGTAGAGTGGAAGATGTTTGCATAGATGAGCACAACGAAGCTTAATTATGGGAGAATTCACACATAAGTGCCGCCACCAAAGTGTGGTTCTTGTCCATCTGTTCTTGGTCCTCTACCCCGTGAAACTCAGTGCCTTAAAATAACATTTTCTAGTGTCCAGCTGGAAATTTTGTTTGTCAAGGGGATAAGGCTATAAGGAAACAGAAAGACCATTGGCCTCTATTGAGATCATAGTAATTATTTTTTGGTTGTTGTTGATGCTAGTCTGTTGATAAATAACATTACTCCAAAAAGTTGAATTGGTCATTAAGCAGCACTCAACTCTCGGCTGCCATGTATGCAAAATGTGGCAATAATTAATGACGGTGTTAACCATAAAGAGGCCGACCATCTCTGTCACTCTTTGTCTATTTGAAATCATTCACCTCAGGAGGATATTTCATTTAATTTCCCTGCTTCTTTGCAGTTCCAATATGTAAAGCATATATGTACCCGTGGTAAAGATTTGAATCACTGCCCCTTAAATGAAAGGGGGATAATAATAGACCGTTCTCAACTTTCAACCAAAAATAGGGAATTCATATTCATAGTCATATACACCATGCCAACGCAAAATACGTGAAGTTCCTAGTGTAAAAAGTACGCACCAAATGGTAGATTCTCGCAAAGCCAAATATGGAAAGAAAAGAAAAAAACTCAAAAGAAGAACAAGAAGAAACCATAAACCATCAAATTAGTATGGGCTATTTGGTAACGATGTTCTTTGGCAGCCCTGAAGTACCGTTTTCCTTTCCTTTTCCAGTTTCTTTCCCGTTTGTCAGGGCAGGTTTACCCAAGGCTATTTTGCTTTCGTTGTAGTCCATCTTGTCTAATTTGAGTTTTTGATTATGGCCGTTGAGTTTCTTTGTTTTGGTGGGCTGAACTCGAACCCGGACTTCCCAAGGACGTGCTGCAACCCAACGCTCCGTCCAGCTCCAACCCCAACTTTCTTTACCAAGGCTATAAGAAGCCTGACCAAAATACTGGCTACAGTTTGGCCTCCACTGCAATGTCACATTCACATAAGAGGTCAAATTTTTATTTTTCTTTTGTATACCATGGATGAAGCGAGCGAAACAAGTTTTGTACCTGATGGGAAAAGGCATAAGCCATGGCTCTCTCTCGTTTAATTGCCGCTTCCTCTCGCTGATGTAACCTGGTAAGTATCTCTTCCATGGTTTCAGAACCACTGCACCATTCCACCTGACATTCCAAAAGGCATGTTTGTTAACATTGAATGGATACCCAAATTGACCCCTATAATGATAATAATAACTCTTGACGACGGTTCAAATGAAGTAATCACACAGGCTACACTACCTCAAGCTCCTGAATCTTAGCCTCAAGTTTTAACTGGTTTTCCAATTTCTTTTTCTTTATCCTGGCTTCTGTTATCATACAGATTCTTCGAGCTCTAATTTGTTCTTGTATTCTGCTCCACGAATGTATATAGCTTAGTGCAGTTGCTGTTTGCTCTCTGGCCAGGTGATCTTGAATTAAAGCTTCGAATTTCACTGCTCCCCTTAGATGGTGTAATGCTCTTCTTGCCTGCACGGGTACAGAGTGTAGGGAGGAAGTTAACTCTTTCGCTAAGTCAGCGTGATAAATTGCTTGAGATTTGAGGAAAATTATCAAATCAACATCTCTAAATAGATGTATAAGTACAAAATTTTCTGCCATTTTGGGGTATTAATCTCATAATCAATTAAAAAAACCCATTCTTAATACAGGATTTGTTGTTAAACAGCTGGGATCAATAACATGAGAGAAAACAGGATTCCTCATGATGCCAATAGTTGACTTAGAAGTAAATGGCTTTCCAAGTACTGCTGTAAAAGGCTGCAAAAGAGTAGCAGATAATGTCGTCATATCCCTAGGACATAAATCCTCTTCCAGTTCCGGAGCAGAAACATTTAACACTTTTCAGCAGTCAAATGAGAAGGAGAAGAAAAAAAGACCCGACTAATATAAAATCAGTTATAAAGTCATCTCCAAAATAAATTATATTCTGCAGAAATATAAAAATATCAATACCATGTCATTAAGTGTATATATTTTTCACTTTCAGTTTTTTAAGGAAGACATAGCAAGTTTCATTCATTAGGTAAAACATGTTATGCTATTAGTGAATCAAAATTACACCCCACATCACTTTGGTAAGTTTAGAAGCCACCACTTAAATAAAAAAGAAGAATAATTAGTTGTTGACTAGCAACGTATCTATGATTTAAAATGCGCAACTTAAAGAAAAAAAAAATACAATTTTTGATTCAGTGGAGCAAGGAGAAAAGGAATCAAAATATTCTATTCTTGCAAATTTGGTTATAATCAAAGAGATCGAGAACAGATCATAGTAAAGCAATGAAATCACTGAACACGAGGATATCAGTGAGATGGAGTATGAATTTCGACCTTTTGTTTTCAGTTAATTGCTCTATGTAGCAAATAACTGAAGTACTTCTCCGCATACTACACAATGAAAATTATCGAGAAACATGTAACGGAATAAGCACGACACAGATATTGTACCATAAATGAACGAAATGCATTTTGAATCCTAGTAGCTGCTACATCGTCCATCAACTTTGACGGAACTGTCCGGTCCATCATCAAACCTTCATTCGGAATGCTACTTGACTCTTCACGACTACTTTGCTTCCCGTTCGAGCATTCATTTGAATTTTCATCAGTAAACAGTACCTATTCAGAAAGTGGTGAGACAACAAACAACGGTAGTGGTTGGCATGTCAAATTATCAGCTTTAAATTTTTCCTCTAACTGAAACATTTTTCTTAGAATAAGTGAAACTCACAAAGATTCAAATCCTCCCTAGTAAAATTTCTGCCTACGGAATGTCCAATGAGAAGCAAAAAATGCTCTCCAAACTATCAAAATGTCTGCAAACTTAAAATGCAAGAATTGAAAAGAGAAAAACACTAGGGATAACCTTTTAATATTGCGTCTCAAATGGGGTTAAGTTGGCTCAGTTACAGAACTTAGACCTTTATGTGGAGGGATGAAAGCAGAACAGTTTGGCTTGTATTGGGGATACTGGGTAGTATTTGGAATAACAGTATACGAATTGGTCTTTTGGTGGGGGAAATAATATAAATTCTCTTGTCTTAGGTGCTACCGATCTTGTTCTGTTATGACAATGTCTGCTCTCTTATGTCATATTCTTGTTTTTCTCTTATATATATAATATTGCTAATAAAAACAACACTAGAAATAACCTTTTCTTCTTTGGATTTCTTCGATTTCTTCAATTTGACTATAATCTTAAACCATTTCTTTGCACCCATTCCTTTTAAGAACAGGAAAGAGCCAACAGCAAACCTGCATAACAAGAAATATTCGAACAAATTTTCGTAAATCTCATGCATAAATAAATAAGCCATAGTTTTATGAATGAGGAGACTACCTAGAAGATCATACAGATCGTTATATATTTATTATGTAGACAAGAAATGTAAAAGACCAGTTCAAATATCTCACATGACAATCTTATATACCACACTCTTTGTTCTTCCTATTTCTCTTTGTTATATGATTTTTCTTTGTATAAAACTTACAAAAAAGTATAATTTCTCTTCACATGTTATCGTAATATCAGGTTATAGTCTTCCGATCAAACAGATGCAACATATGAGCCAATAAAAATATAGACTATTGGAAAAACAGTTGCTAAATTCTGCTGCACTACCCATCAATAATCTGACGTAAATCATCCAATTTTTTCAAAGCTTGAGAATCAAGGATTTCATCACTACAGAAAGGAATTTCCCTCACTGTTGACCAGTTGGTGTTAAAATCTCTAAATTTGTTTCTACTTTTATGGATTTCGTCAATGATATATTTTAAGATTGAACATGTTACACTTAAGTTGGTTTTCATACAAAAATTAAAACGTAAGATGGGTACAAACAGAAAACTATTTCACCATCTTCTAATACTAAGTATACTGTAACAGTAGTAGTATATCCTAAAAGCTATCCAAATTATAATTGTCAAGCCATGTGACATGGGTTTGGTTTCCTTCAATTTCAAAAGCCAGAACGTGCTGAAACAATATACCCCAATTAACTATGCACAGACATGATTATATATTGGGAGTGAAAGGAAGTGGTAGAAGAAAGAACAGGATCATTATAACGTCAAAGCAACAGACAACCAAACCCAACAAGCATAAGTTTTGATGAAGAAAGCAAGATCCTAAAAGGACGGAGATAAAGAATGAAAATGGGAAGGGACACATACCAGGTTGAGAGAAGAAAAGGGATGGATGCGAACAAGGGGTTTGCTTGGAGAGGATGAAGAGTGGTGGGTTGTGATGATAAGAGACGTGGTAGATTGGAATACAACACATAAAAAGAGAGAAAAGAGAGAGAAAGAGTTCCATAATGGTGAGTGACAACCCAACAACGATGAAGCAGATGTTTGATCTCTTTGGAAGTTTAGGAGTCTAGAGAAAGGTGAGGGAGGGTGGTAGTCATGTCCAGTTGTGTTTCTGAAAATGAAATACCATAATTAAATCATTGAAACAAAATTTAATCAAGCTTTAGGAAAACTTTCCTGTGATCTGTTCATAACACCAATCCTCTAACCCATCTCATTTCTAAGTATCTAAATTACATTTTCTAATGTCTAATGTTTATTCTACAGAAAAATATGCATTATTACTAGGAGAGTGATATGGAAGCTTTTTCACGATAACTTTTACAAGCAACAAAAGTCGTTTCATGAATTGAAATCTGATACGATTTTCTTGTAATTTGATTTGTCATATTGGCCTCTTAGATAGTTAATATGAATAAGATTTGTTCTATAATCTAGGATGATGAGAGTCGGATTAGAATATTATAGGATTCATTTTTATATTTATATTTTGAAATAATATTCCTATTAACTTTAATTTCTATCTCATACTCTTGATGTTTATATACTCGTATTTGTCTGGTTGCTCATGTTTTACTCTGGAACTATTCAGGAAGGAAGAGTTATAAATTTATAAAAAGTAAAGAAATATTTTACATACATAATAAGTAAATAAATAAAATTTAATATATATATATATATATATATATATATATATAAAACTATATTCAGTAAAAAATAATAATATATGAAAAAAAAATAGATAGATAAAAGAGTTTTAAATAACTATGTATAGACACGGCAAAAATAAATAGAACTCTACTAACATAGAATATTTTCTTATATCACATTATTTTCTCTCTTTATTTTTTTTATATTATATTTAAATAAGGTATTTTGTAATTTAAAAAAAAAATAAAAAAAATTATTTTTAATTATTTTTTATTTTAAATTATTTAATTTTTCAAATAATTTATTTAAATAACACAATTCAAATTTATTAAATTTTATTTTTTCTTGTTTAGATAGAAATTTTAATTATTATCAAATACTGAAAATTATCTTCATATATCCATCAATTGGGCCTATCTCTCGAGTATTTAACCTTTATTTACATAAGAATGGGACAAGATAGACCATGACGAGTTAGATTTGATCAAGTTATATCGGGTTGGTAAAGTCAGACTTGGTTGAGATAAACTATATTAAGTGAGAAAGGTTGAGTTAGGTTGACCAAGTCAAAATGAGTCGAGTTATATTGGAATAAGTTGGATCATATTATGTCAAGTCAAACCAAATTGAGTTAAGATGATGTTTCTGGTGAAAATTTGATCGATTTCGATTTATCGAGAGTTAAGTTCTAATCAATTCTCAATCATGTAGATTCTTTTTACTTAGGCTAGTAAGCAGTTTTCAATCGAAATGTGTATGAGAATAGAGAATCCCAAAATCTCGAAAAGATGCAAACCACATGACCTAGAGTGAAGAAAGTACTATTTTTGGTGTTTTCTGTTAAGAAATGCGAAGTAAAGAAAGCGTCGAATCGAAAAGCAGTGCAGAATATTAAATTGCAGGAAAATGTAAAATACGGAAACCTCAAATTTGCATTAAATGTAAATGACAAGAAATCGAAATTGTGGAAATGTAAATAACAGGAAATCGAAATTGCAGAAATGTAAATGGCAGGAAATCGAAATTGCAGAAATGTAAATGACAAGTATGTTAAACGCATAACCTTAACTTGCACAAAAGTAAATGACAAGGAATTGAAAGGACAAACTTAAAGTTGATAAACGTAAAGTTGCAATGAAAGTAAAATTACCAGGGAAAGTAAAGAAAGCGATAAAGGCAATCAATGAAAACGGAAATCCAGAGCATTAGAAACTTCATGATGCGTCGTTCTCCTGCAGACTTGTTCACTTGAGCTTCTGTTGTCTCTGCCAATTTCCCCTTCTTCCTTAAGCTTCGCTCTATTTATAGAGCGCCCTTCAAATAACCTCCTAAGAGCAGTTAACAAAACTGCCACCACGATCCATCACGTCCCTTAGTTTTATGGTTTAGAAAACCGCTTCCCATGTTCTATGTGCGTGTTAACCATTCCCTCGATCTCGATTTCAGACATCGAGTACTTTGAATTGCTTTTGATTCCCTTTAATCTTAACTTTGCACTGTTCTAATTTCTCGATTCTCTTCAACAATAGACATCAAAATTTGTTTCTTCGATTCTCGATTTTGATTCTCGATGTATTTTTATCTTGTGGTTACCAGGTGTCTTTTACCTGTCTCTTATCAATTTTTTAACCAACCATATGATCTTCGATTTTCTCTCTCTTGTTCTTTCGATCCTGGTATCGATTTTTCTTTTACTAACAAATGCCCCCCTAGAAGAATATTAATTTTTTATATTCTTCCAAACATGACTCCCGCCCTTAATCGTTCCTGAAGGTTCGAAATAACTCCTTGGGGTTTTTAGGGTTTCCAGGGTTTTAGGGTTTCTGGGGTTTTAGGGTTTCTCCATTTATGTTACCTGTCACATCACCTCTGCTGCCACGCTTTCACCTGCTTTCCATTTCGCCGTTTCACATACCCTACCCGGCTTCTTTAAATACTTTTATCAATTTTTACCCTTGTTTTTTACCACGAACCTTACTTCTTCGTTTGCAAGTCTTCATCTTCAACCTTTCGTCTTCCTCTTCTCTACCGGCTGAAATGGCAACCTCAAAATCCTCTGATTTTTCCGCCCCACCACTCTCCTCGGTGACCTCCAACCTAATAGAGATTAATGGGAGGAAGTTTGCTCCAGTTCCCTTGATGGAAGAAGCCTCCCAGAGGATTGCCGAGACCCAGGTACTTATCCCTTATGTTGCTGATAATGTAGGTTATGCGTTTGGTGGTCCTATCCGCTACTGTGGCGGATCATTTTCTTCTTCCCTCAACCTTTCTTCAGAGAGTAAGGCTCCTATCCATCAGTCCGAGGTTCGAATTGACTTTCTGAATATTGTCTCTAAAGAATATCGAACAGACCCTCCCCACAAAAAACCCTTGTACATTAGGTGGTTTGATCGAGTTAAAACCAAGTTTGGGAACCATTGGAGAGATATGGGGATCTTCGATTTCCTACATCTGTCTCGATGTGATTTATCTTTTTTAGATATGACTATGTTTTTATCAGCTGTCCATCTGTGGAATAAGGACTTGCATGCACTGGAACTTCCTTGTGGTCCCCTTTCACCCACCCTTTTTGAAATCACTGCAATTACTGGATTAAAGCCCACAGGGGAGAAATACTATAAGGGTGCTTTCCCTTCGAATAATTCTTTAAGGTCCAAAATCGATTGGGAATCGAAGGCCTATGGACATTTTCTCGAGAAACATTTTATCGACGATCCAACAGTAGCTATTTCTGATGAGGAACATGTGGCCTTCTTGGTATACTGGCTTTGCACCCACGTTTTTTGCCCTCGATCCATCCAGATTTCGACCCACCTTTATAACCTTGCCTACCTCCTTCACACTGGCCAACCACGGATTTGTCTAGCAAAATTATTATTGGCCCATGTTTACACTTCTTTTGATGAAGCTGTCGATATTTTGAATACCCCTAGGGCCTCGGGGAATTTTTCAGGTCCCATTTGGTTCATTTAGTTATGGCTTACCTCAATTTTTGAAAGTATTCTCTCTCCAACCTCCGACATTCCCCCATGTTTAAATTTGGAAGGTGCTCGATTGTCCTCTCGACATCCTCACCACAAACCCGATGAGGCCATTTATCACAATTACCTAAGATTTTTATTAACTCGATTTCATTTTGATTCAATCTTGGCCCCCTTCACCGTGTATCAAGGGAAAGTAAGTGACAGGCTTCGAGGGCCAGTATGGTTTAAGTCAAAATTTCCTGCTCTTACTCCCGGGTTACAATCATAACTGGTCGACGTGTGGAGTAATTACCTAACCCAAGATGTTCTGGTATCGGGTTTTCAATCAAAGGATCTTCAACTTGTTACTTATTATCCCCAGCTCTTCTCGCGACAGTTTGGTTTGAGTCAAGCTTTACCTTTTTTCCCCCTCGATACCTCCTCAAGGTCCAAATTAAGTGAATCGACTGTTGGACGGGAGCTCGCCAAACTGTTGCCAAAAAACCCGATGCATTTTTACCCTTACGCTTTTGAATCGAATTATTTATCTACTCTTGGTTTTTCTCAATGGTGGACCGATTGGTTTTCAAATATTCATTCTAATTTTGACATAGTCCAATCGAAATTGACCGCTCGTCCTTTTCTCGTATTGCAGGACAAATCGAAGGTGAAGAAAGGTACATACTCTCACTATCTCCAAATATCTCGATTCGAAAATTTTTATCGAGCATGCTACAATCTCTCAAAATTAGAAGAGACCTTTTATGATGTTATTTCCTTAGTCAATAAAACAGACACTAACCGATCGAACCACAAAATAATCAATCCTAGAGGCAAAACCCCATTTGAAATGTATTGTCCCAACCATCTTCCCACTTTCCCTTCAGCTCTTTTTGGACTTGCCAAACCTTTAACTCATCCTAAATGGGTTCGAGAGTTAAGATCCTTGAAAGAGACCCTTTCTCCAAAACCCAAGAATAAAGAAATCTCGGTATCGAAACTGTCCTATTTTCC